CCCACTACAAACATGACCAGAAAGGCAAAGAGAAGGCCCGAGGGACAGTCAGAGAGGCCCAGGCTCGGGAGGGTACAGACAGGCCATAAATACCACCTTCAATTTACAAATGAAGCTGTGTGGTGGCTCATGCTGGGGACTCCAGCAATCAGAGCGCAGAGAGAGGACAAGAGCTCTGACAGCTACACTAGAATCGGTCCCTCCCCACCCCCACAGGACGAATGAAGAGTCCTCCTAGCAGTGTGGCTGTGGTCCCTGCGCTCTGAGACGTCAGGAGAGTTCAAAGGTGAAAGACCACAGAAGGGGGCTGTACTTCTGACAAGAGCCCTGCGGAATGCAAGAGAAGGCACACTTGCCACACAGAGGTGAGGACCTGAGTTCAGATCCCAGCACTACATAAAAAGCTGGGCATGGGTGTACCTGTGACCTCAGTGCTGGGGGCCTGGGTGAGGGTCAGAAGACGTCAACTGGGCTTGTGGGCTGCCAGCCTAGCTCAAGATTCAGTGAGAGACACTGCCTCAGACAGTGAGGTGGGAAGTAATGGACAGCACACATGACACCCTCCTCCTGTCTCCACACACAGGCATGAACTCACTCTCCCCGCTCCCCAAGGGTGGCAGGAAGCCTGGTTAGGGTTGGATGTGACTTAAACGGTCTAGCACACAGAAAGCTCTGGATGTGATCCCAGCACAAGAAAGAGAAGCTGAAAACAACAGTAAGATGATAGGCAGGAAAGGATAAGGGGATAATACAGAAACCTCCAGGGGAACCATAGGGAGAGACCTTCCTCCCAGCTTCAACCTGCTCTCAACACAGGAAATCAGGAACAAGAACAAGATACAGTCCGACTCTAGGGATTAAGAAAAGCCGACACTGGCCAGTGTTCATCAGCCTCCAGGACTATAAACGTCAAGAAGCCTAGGAGGGAAAGGCTAAGCTGGAGTTCTCAGAATCCTTGAGGTCCTCCCCATCAGGGGTCCCTTGTCCCCAGGCTGGATGTCCTATCCCAACCCCAGTGGTCTTCCTCTCTGACCCAGGCCTCAGGTTCAGAGTCTGCATTCACCCTAAGCAGGGCAAGCAGTAGAGGTGAGGAAGAGAGGTCTTTACCCGTACCTCAAGCAGCGGCTCACTATGGCAGTGCCAGAGGCAGCCCTGTGGGTCCCTCCAGTGTGGAGACGTGCAGGCCACAGAACCCTAGAGGCTTGTGTTTCTGTTTGTTCTGCCCGGCAGGTGTCTGGGCCCTTTAGGGGAAATCCCAGGCAAGAGATGTCTTTAAGAGCTTCTTTAAGGGCCCTCCTTCAGTAGGGGGGGAGCTAAGAAGAGGGGAGGTTGGGGACTATTCTCCAAGGAAATGCATCTTGTGACAGGAAACAGAGTAAAAACAATCCGTCGGGTTGTGGCCTGTGGGATCTGTTTCCCAGGGGATATTAGCCTGATGCCCTACAAACTGCTCACTCTTCTTTGCCCCAGCCCTAGTGAACACAGAGCTAGTGTGGGAAAAACAGTTCCAGAGAAGGTGGAAGGTCTGCATTCGGTCCTCCACCCATGCCAGACACCTGACTGTTTCCTTTGTGCCAGAGAGAGAGAGAGAGAGAGAGAGAGAGAGAGAGAGAGAGAGAGAGAGAGAGAGAGAGAGAGAGAGAGACCACGTTGAGACTGGGTGAGGGGTACAGTGGGGCAGTAGGCAGGGGCGGAAGGAGCCCGGCTGGAGGAGGCAGGGCTCAGGGGCACAGGATGTGGTCTGTGGGAGAATGACACACTTCTCCTTTGCTAAAAGTTGCCGTCCCCCAAGCCAGGTCTCTACTGCAGGCCAAGGGAACACCGTCCTCGGGTGTCGGGGCGCGCACAGAGGGCCACACGGGCACAGGAAGCAGGAGGGGTCCAGGATAACCCAGCAGCGCAATGCTGAAGCTCTTGGTCTGGCGTGGAGGGCGAGGGAAGGTAGAGGACAGGACACGGCAACCCTGGGCCTCTGTCACACACGAACACGTTCGTCCCAGGCTAGGGGCACCCAACGTGGAGGGAGGAGACAGAGGACAGCTGGGCATAATGGAACCCACCTGCCTGGAACCTGTGCTCCGAAGAGCCTGAAGGAGACAGAGAGGGGCTTTCAGGAGGCTGGGACTTTCCCACACAACTGAATATGCACCCGGGGGAGCCCTAGCTGCACCCTTGGCCGGAATGCTGGAGGCGGCTGGGTGGGGGCAGAGCTGGGAGGAGCTAGGAGGGCTTGGTAGTTTTCCCCCAGAGTCCACTCACTGAGACAGAGCCCTGAGGAAGTAAAGACAAACATTTGGTCTTTGTCAGAAAACAAGCAACAGGGGGGAGGGGAAAGGGAACAGAAGGCCACTGTCACACAGCTGCTGAGGTCAATCTGGAGCTTGGGGGCTGGGGGGACCTGGGAGGGGCTCACCCATTCCCAGGACTCGCTCAACGGTATAGGGGGAAAAGATTGAAAAGCCAGAGATTCAAACTGTCGTCCCCCAGAGTGAGGGGAGAGGCTGTGCGCCAGCCAGTGGGTGTGACTGCAGGGGGAGGCACCCGCTGGAGCAAAGGGCTCTTTGACCCAGCCCTGTGTCCCTCACCCTGGAGACGAGGCGCAGAGGGCCCTCACTCCAGCCAGCCTAGACTGGGGCGGGGCTCCCGGAATGCAGTCCTGTGCTCTGATCCCCACCCTCAGCTGCCAGCCCAAGTCCACAGGCCACCTCCTGGGCAGCTGAAGCCTGACTCACCTGTCGGTGCAGTCCCCAGGGCCTGGCCGTCAACAGACACAGGGCAGGGGAGACAGCATTAGAGGGACCCTGAGGACTGGGAGGAGAGTCTCCAGGAGGTCTGCACTGCTAACTAAGACACCCCCTTTCCTTCCTTCCAGTAAGCTGCCTCCCGTCCCACCCCCAAGGGAAACGCAGAACCTGGAGTGGTAATTCTAGGGTTCCTACGAGGTCACAGCTCCACAGTGACCTCACAGAGGCAGGAAGAAGATAAAGGGGACAGGGATAACGGATGGGAAGTTCAGGGCGGGAGATTCTCTTCTTCCACACAGACGGGCTGGGGTGGACGGCCGAGAGGGTCTGGGACTTGTGGAGGCTGTGGTAAAGCAGAAGCGTGGGGGTGTTGGGGCGAGCCCTGGGAAACAGGCAACTGGGGCTGCTGGGGTCGAGGTGGAGGGGATGAAGGGGTTGGAAACGACCGGAAGGCTGGGAAAATGCAGTCATTGCTGATGGATTACAAAGGGGGGCTTGCTCTAAGTGCCCATCAGATCCAGGATCGAAGAAGCCAACCAGGTGAGGGGCGGGGCCACGCTACAGGTGCGCAATATGCAAATAAAGGGGAGGGTCTCCCGGAGCCCGGCCGAAAGTTCTGCGTGCCAGCTTGACCCGGCCTCCTTGTGCGACGGTTCTCACAGCGGGGAGGGGAGGTCGCAGGCGCGATGCCAATCCCGAGGGGCGAGCGCTCAAGACTGCCAGGTGAAGGGGTGGGCCTGATCCGAGCGCGGGGCGGGGCTATGCAAATGAGGGTCGCGTCCTGTCGGGGTCCCGACCTCTCTCGGGGCACCGGCGCAACTCACCAGCCTGGGTGATGTCTGACAGGTCGTAACTGCGGGCCGCGCCCCGGGGGAAGTGCTTCAAACGCCGGTTGGACAAGTTCAGGGTCCCGGTGGCCACAGCCTCTTCTAAGGCTCGTTCTGCGCTGCGGCTCCCGGGGAGACCAGGGGACCCTGGCACGGAGGCTGAAGCTGCAGCTTCCTCACCCCCGGCGGCGAGCGGGCCCGCTACCACTGCCGCCATCCGCTCCCGGCGGCTCCCGCTGCCTGACTGACGGCACCGGCCGGCCCGCCTCGCCCCTCCCCCACCTCGGAGCCGCCGTAGCCGCCTCTGGAGGGAGGAAGCGGGTCAGGAACCCCGCGGACCAATCACGAGCCAGAGACGCCTTAGAACTGCCCAATCAGAAAACGCCAAGGGGGTGGAGCTTCTCAATTCCGGACCCCACTGAGGGACGGGAGGGGGTAAAGAGCCGGAGCCTTCGCCAACGGCCGCGGCTTCTGGCCGTCCCGCCCCGAGCAGCGACATCCAATCAGAACTCTGGAGGCTAGCGAGGGAGCCAATGAGGCCCGCCCAGGAGGCGGGAACAACAGCTCTCCACTTGCAGGGATCAGAGACCCCGGGACCGCAAGCCTGAGAGCCAGGCCTCTTTCAAAGGAGACCAATTGCAACCTAGAGACAGGCGAGTGACTGTCGAGAAGGCCAATCAGAACCTCGAAAGGGACCCGTCCCGGCCTCTCCTCGGAGGGACGGCTGTGCCCACCAATGGCATAGGGAGGAGAGCGAGAGGTCCCTTTCAATAAACAGGAGGCGGGGACGGTAGCAGCTTGGAGAGCCAGGTGAAGGCTGAGCGCGGCGTGCTGGGCGTGCCGACGGTGCGGCGTTAGAGCTGGGGCCCGGCTGGACATTTTGGGGAGCGAGCCAGCGTCCGGGAAGCTAGACGGGGCAAGGGATCCCCGGCTGTGCAGGCCGAGTCCCAGCGGGGGACTCGTGGGTTTCCAGCTCCCCCAGGGTCTTCTAGAACAACATGGTTACTTTGTTTTGTTGGTTTTTCGAGACAGTCTTGGAGCGCGATCCGTATGTAGGCCAGGCTGGCCTCGAACTCGGGAGATCCGCAATGCCTCTGCCTCCTGAGCTTGAGACTGAAGGCGTGCGCCACCCCTGCTCAGCTAAGATCTTTATGTTTTCAAAAATGAGGAACTGAGTATCAGGGCTCCCACTTTGATAGTGAACTTTGTCTTTTGGAAACCGCTTATTAGGAGCCGGTGTAGTGGCATGAGCCTGCTGTGCTAGCATTTGGGGAGAGGGCAGGAGGACCACCGCTTCGAGGTCAGTTCCGGGGCAGCCTGGAACATGAGACCCTTGCTCTCAGAACTACATTTTTCTTTATTGTTTTTACTTGTTGAGGTGAAGGTGAAATGGTCCCAAATGGGAGAAGCAGTAAAAGAATGCTTTTTTTTTTAAAGGTTTATTTACTTTTTAAAGAATGTTAGCATTTAACGAACCTCCCTGTGTGGCTCCGAGCCAGTAGGAAACAGACACCCCCTACACCCTTAATCTCCTCGGCTCTTCAGTTGCAGAATTTGATCTTGACAATGACAGGCTGCTTAGACAGCTTTCTCATGCCCAGAACTCTGTAGTGTCCCGGTCCCACGGCACCAGTGACAAGAGCAGCCCCACTGGGGTCAGTGTCCGCAGTTTATCCAGGTTGACGCTTTGTCCGAAGCTCTGGTTCCTCTTTAAGGGGTAAAGACTCATACCAGCTTCCCCAGAGTCACCTGGACGATTCTGTCCACGTTGACGCTGTGAGGAGTCGTGCCACCAGCCTCCCCTTCCCCTCCTGGGCACTCAGGTACTTACCCATGTGGCTATAGTTGTGGGTCACGTGGCCCTGGAATTTCAACCTTTTCCTCAATCTGGGTGGCATGGTGGTCTAAAGGAAGGAGGAAGAGAAGATCTCACTCACAGCCCTGGCGGGCCTCCAGCTGCTTACGTAACTAAGAGTGACCTTGAACTCCTCTTGTCACTGCTGGGATTACAGGTGTGCACCATCATGCAAAAAATCCTTTGCAGTGACGCAAGACCTCAGCCTGCTTCCTGTGCTGCCTGGCCACCAGCAGCGGAAGCTGCTCTCTCACGAGTCACACCTGCTATGCTAATGTGCCTAAGCATTTATTCCCGTATTACAACTTGGCTGCTTAGAGTGTAAACAGCTCTTGCGGAAGACTCAGTGCTTGAAGCACCAACAGAGTGCTCACAGTAGCCGCACTGCCAGGTTGTGGGGGCGGCAGGGGAATCCAGTGCCCTCTTCAGGCCCCCACAGACACTGCACTCACTCCTCACATGATTAAAAAGAAATTAAGCTCAGGGGACTGGAGAGAGAGACGGCTCAGAGGCCATGAGCACTGGTTTCGTTCCCAGTTCATGGCCATCTGAAACTCCCAGTTCCATGGGATCCAGGCATGTATATGGTACACATTCGTGCAGGCAAACACACACACACACAATCTTTTTACAAAGCAAATGTTTAAATAATAGCGGGACGTGGTGGCGCACACCTTTAATCCCATCACTCGGAAGGCAGAGGCAGGCGGGTCTCTGTGAGATCGAGGCCAGCCTGGTCTACAGAGAGGGTTCCAGGACAACCAGGGCTACACAGGGAAACCCTATTTCAACCCCTACACACCCAAAAAGAAAGCGGGGGTTGGAATGGATGTCCTACACATGAACTACTTCCTAGTTACCACAGACACAGGAGTTGTGTGGGTGACATCTGGCTACAGTCGGTGAATGGACCTGCTGGGCACTTAGGCACTGGCTTCCTGACAGGATGAAATCCTTTGGTGCTCCTAGAAAAGCCATGTTCCCTACATTTATTGGTGTAGACCTTCCCCTGCCTACCAGATGCCACCTTGTCTACTGTCTCTCCTGGACAAAGTCACTCCATAGGAAAACGCTAAGTGCCTGGGCTCTAGAAGATGTCCTAAGTTCCAGGAAACAATTCTCCCTTCCCCCACCGTAACAGCTTGTCCTTTGCACACACAATGCTGCCACCATGTGACTTGGGACTTGCTTTCAACGAGAGTATGAAGAATTTGTGTTCCATTGTTCTCCCTTGCCTCTGGCTTTTGTGAGCAGTTAGACCCCTTGTCTCCACTGCCTTTGTCCCTCCCCCTCCTCCCCTCCCCTCCCCCTCCTCCCCCTCCTCCACCGTATCTGGTGCTGGGGATCAAGCCCAGCTTAGTGCATTGACAGGCAAGCCCTCTACCAACCAAACTTACATCTAGTCCTATACATTTTTTTTTCTTTTCTTTTCTGGCTTTGTGTTCTTGAGCTACAAATCCCCGAAGACTGAGGACTACCCAGAAGTCCCCAGTTTTTCTCTTCAGAGTTAAAATTAAAAGTGAGAAAAATCTACTACTACTCTCTAAGAGGGGAGGGCTTACCGCCTGTCAATAATTCACTCTTCATGTCTCCAGTAAAACATGTATCCCATGAGCCACTTGGTGGCTGGATCTGAGCTAGAACCCAGAAGCTAGCTCTGGGGTCAGGTTAAGGAGAATAGGTCACAGTCAATGGACAGTGAGGTCACAAAAAGGTTTATGTGTCCCAGACTCCATGGGGTGGGGCCTGCATGCTAGAGGTCCCCCAGGCCCAGACTGGGGACATGGTGTGGGGAAGGCAGCGGAGACAGGGGCCTGGGGCCTGGGGAGCCAAGGCGCCTGGAGAGATGAGGGCAGGAGCAGGGAAGGGACAGTCAGGATGGTGAGGAGAAGTCGGAGACAGAAGCTGCGAAAGTTGACCAGGCTGTGCAGAAAGGAGGAGGGGCTCAGGGTGAGGGCATGGGAAGGAGGAGGGGCTCAGGGTGAGGGAGGTGGCTGGCAGCAGCAATCTGGGGTCAGGGCAGGGCACAGGGCAGACAAGGGAGGGGTGATAGCCTGCGGTCCTGCAGAGCGATGGCATGGCGGGATTTGCTAGCATACAGTTGGAGTTGGATGAGCCCCAAAGCAGGAGTTTACAAAAACAAAACAAAACAGTTTGACAGCAAAGAAGAAAAGCAGGCGTGACCCCCACAAAACCCCTTTGCTCCCCTTTATCCTCTGGCAGGTGAAGCGCAGCTGTCCTTCTTGTAGTCTGGAGGCTAGGAATGAAAAGAAGAGAAGGAACCCTATTTCTGTTCAGTTTTTCCCCCCAGAGCTGGTGAGTCTTTAGGTTGGTGAGGGTGGTGACTGCAGGGCTGAGGTGCAGCTGTGACTCCCCCTCCTCCCTCCTGCTCCTCCACAGGTGGAACACATCGTCTCGTTCCTGCCAGTCAAAGATGTTGTCGCTTTAGGCCAGACCTGCCACTACTTCCATAAAGTGTGTGACGCTGAGGGCGTTTGGAGACGCATCTGCCGAAGGCTCACCCCTCGCATCCGTGACCACCGCTCTGGTGCCCAGCCCTGGAAGAGAGCTGCCATTCTTAATTGTACTTCCCCTCAGTAACAACTTCTCCTAGCCTCTGTCCTTCCTTATTCTGGGAACTTCCTTCTTTGTCAAGTTGCCTGGTAATCTTTGCACCCCCGGCAACCTTTTCTTTAGAAGAAACCTGTCCCGCTCAAGCATGCTCCACGGGGTACTTCTCCAAGATTCTTCAGCCGCTTCTCACAGATGCCCAGCTCACAGCTCTAGTACCATGTCAGCCAGGTCTCCCTGCTAAGCCTTCCAGATCTTACCCTAGAGACACCCCTACTCCCCAGACCTGGAGTTTGTTCCTCTTTTAAATCAGAGTTAACTTTGTCAGCTTTTGCATATGTGGTGTGGTGTGTGTGTGTGTGTGTGTGTGTGTGTGTGTGTGTGTGTGTGGTGTACCAGCTAGTGCAGTCACATGAGAAGGCCAGAGGTTGACATTGATTGGCTTCCTATGTCCCTCGCCACCTTGTTTTTTTGTTTTTTGTTGTTGTTGTTGTTGTTTTTACTAGACAGGGTCTCTCTGCATTGTTTTGGAGGCTGTCAGTCCAGCCTGGCCTCGAACTCACAGAGATCCGCCTGCCTCTGCCTCCCGAGTGCTGGGATTAAAAGTGTGCGCCACCACCGCCCGGCGCCACCTTGTTTTTAATATTTATTTTTATTTTATATGTATAGGTGGTGTTTTGTCTACATGTATGTCCGTGTACAACATGCAGTGCCTATGTAGGCCAGAAAGGGGCATCAGATCTCCTGGACCTGGACTGTGGCGTGGGTACTGGGACTCAAACCCAGGTCCTCTGAAAGAGCAGCCAGTGCTCTTCACCACTGAGCGGTGTCTAGCCCTGCCTCATGTTTTTAAACAGGCTCTCACCGAACCTGGAGCTTGCCATGATTAGACAAGATGGCCAGCATGCCCTGGGGATCCTTCTGTCTCTGCTTTCCCTCTTCCCCAAAAGAGTGCATGCTATGGTTAAAAATGTTTCATATAGGCTTTTACATGGGTGCCAGGACTCTGAACCCAGCGCCTCACCCTTACACGGCAAACACTTTACACATTTAGTCATCCCTCACCTTTTTGTCACCCTGTAACAGTCGAGATGAAGTCATTCTCTCTTTTCATGTTTATGTGCACGGTGTATGTTACATGTATGCATGCATGTGTGCATGAGTGTGGACACGTGCACATTGGGGTGTAAGCATGTGGGGACGAAGGTTGCTATCAGGGATCACCGTCAGTCACCCTCCCGCCGTATCCAGTGGAGTCCAGTCTCAGCTGCACCCAGCAGGCTCACTAGCAGCCTGCTCTGAGGATCCTGCTCCCACCCCCGGGTCTCCCAACCCCGGGTCTCCCACACCCAAGTCTCCCACGCCCATGCCAGAGTCACAGGCTGGCCAAGAAGGCCACCCAGTTCATGCTTACAAGGCAAGAACTTAACCCCTGAGCCATCTCCAGCCGAGACGAAATAATGCTATGTTGTGGAGGCTGTCCTATTTATTGTAAGACGGGTAGCAGTGCCAACTCCCCAGTTATGACAACCAGTGTCCCCGAGGGACGTAAGCACCCCAGCTTGAGAGTGCCTTTCCACTTCAGAAAGGCGCTACCTAATTACTTCTTTCACACATACGTAGTTCAGAGAAACAGCCACAGCAGAGGCGAGAGGAGACGCCTGGCCTTTCCCGGCCATTTCCCTCTCCTTTCTGCTTTGCTTCTGTGCTTGTTCTTACAAGGAGATGCTGCTGAGAAGCGCATGTGTGTCCCAGGCATGCTGGGACAGATGGAGGCCATGAGCCAGGTTTTCTGTGTTGCCCCAGGAAGGAGTCTGATCCCCAGTCCTGGGGATGGAAAAACAGTCTAGCTCATCCTAGCTGACTCTCGCCACTCATGTGGCCTCAGCCTTGAAACCATTTCCTTCTGGTCTTCAGATACAAAGGGCCTGTACTTCCAGGCATTCGGAGGACGGCACCGATGTCTCAGCAAGAGTGTGGCCCCCATGCTAGCCCATGGCTACCGCCGCTTCTTACCCACGAAGGACCATGTGTTCATTCTTGACTATGTAGGGACCCTCTTCTTCCTCAAAAATGCTCTGGTGTCCTCCACCCTTGGCCGGATCCAGTGGAAGCGGGCCTGTCGCTATGTGGTGTTGTGTCGAGGCGCTAAGGATGTGAGTAGGGAATTCTGGGTCCTCCCTTAGGGAGGGATGTCAGGACACCTGCCCTCTCGTAGGGAACCTGAAAGCAATCCGTTTCTCTGTCATTTGCTTGTGGGTTTGGTGCTGGAAATTGAACCCAGGACCTCACACATGCTAGGCAAGCATTCTGCCACTGAGTTAGATCTCCGATCCTCAGTCAGCTCTGAGACCTCATTTCCCACCCACGGCCCACTTGCTCTAGCCTTGTCCCATTCAGCGTCTCCAGACCACAGACAGCCTCATCCTGTTCCACAGTTTGCCTCCGACCCAAGATGTGACACAGTTTACCGTAAATACCTCTACGTTTTGGCCACTCGGGAGCAGCCGCCCGTGGTGGGCACCACGGACAGCAGGGCCTGTGACTGTGTGGAGGTCTATCTGCAGTCCAGTGGACAGCGGGTCTTCAAGATGACATTCCACCACTCCATGAGCTTCAAGCAGATCACGCTGGTTGGCCAGGAGACACAGCGGGCTCTACTGCTCCTCACAGGTGTGATCCACAAAGCAGTGGCTTGCGAATGTCTAGCAGATTCTTCAGGAGCTGCTCCAGGGGAGAGGAAGAAAGGGGTCTGTCAGAGAGGGTTCTACCTTCTCACGCTCCAGATCTCAACCACAAAAGTTCTAGAATTCTGCATAGAATTTCAGATAAAGGTCCTTCTCAGGCTGGGGGCGTAGATCGATCCATGTGAAGCAGCAGCCTCATATAAAGTGGGTATAGTGATACATGCCTATAGTTCCAGTATTTGGAAGGTAGAGGCAGGAGAATCTGAGTTCAAGGTTACTAAGCTATACAGCGTTTGAGGCCAGTCTATAAGACTGGTGTGCTGAGTAGGTGGTACAGTGGGCTACACTTGCTAAACAAGCATGGGTGTGAGCTTGGAGCCCCAGGACCAACATAAAGGCTAGAGGGCAATCCTAGCACTTGTATGATGAGATTCAAGATGGAGACAGGAGTCTCCCAGAAGCCCACAGGCCGGCTAGTCTGGCATGTTTAGTGGTAGTGGTGAGAGTCCAACTCAAACAAGGCAGTTGGTAAGGACCAACACCAAGGTTTCCTCTGTCTCCTGACATGCATGGTAGCATGGGGCCCACACTATTACGACAATTTCTTAAGTTGTTTGGAAATCGCTGCTCTAGTGAAAATCTGATTTTTAAAATCTAATCCCCTCCTAACCTGGATGCCAGGCACTGCCTCTCCTCACTTCTCCAGTGTCCTCTCTAACTGACTGCACCCTCCTTAAGACTGCGACCTGTGGACTTCCGAATGCCAGGCGGGAACCTAAATGCCCAGGCTTCTTTCTTCCCAACACTCAAATTAAGAGTCTGCAACATCTAATCACTAGGTTTGCTCTCCACTAGTCTCTCATGCTGAAGTACGTCCGCATTTTGTTTTGAGGGTTGATGGCTGGGGGCTGGAAGACATTCTCTTTTTCCTTTTTCTTTTAAAAAATTTTTTTTCAAGACAGGAATTCTCTGTGTAGCCCTTGTTGTCGTAGAACTCTCTCTGTAGACCAGGCTGACCTTGAACTCAGAGATTCTCTTGCCTCTGCCTCCTAAGTGCTGGGATTAAAGGCGCGTGCCACCACCACCCGGCTTTCTTTCTTTATTTATTTTATTTCTGCTGTTGAGACAGAGCCTCACTGTGTAGTTCAGTGCTGGCTGGCCTGGAACTTACTACGTAGATGGACCACACTGTCCTTTAACTCAGAGTTCTGTCTGCCTCTGCCTCCTAAGTGCTGAAATAAACTTTATCCCCTCCTTGAGTGTGTGTGTGTGTGCATGTGTGTGCGCACACCTGTGTGTGTGCAGGCATGTGTGTGCATGTGTGTGCATGTGTGCAGGCATGTGTATGTGCATGTGTATGTGTGCAGGCATGTGTGTGCGTGTGGGGGGCATGTGTGTGTGCATATGTGTGTGCAGGCATGTGTGTGCATGTGTATGTGTGCAGGCATGTGTGTGCATGTGTAGGCATGTGTGTACGTGTGTGTGCCTGTGTGTGTGTGCGTGTGGGGGGGAATGTATATGTGTGTGTGCATGCATCAGTGTGTGCATGTACGTGCGTATGCATGTATGCGTGTGTGTGCAGGCATGTATGTGTGTGCACGTATGTGTGTGCAGGCATGTATGTGTGTGCACGTGTGTGTGTATGTGTGCAGGCATGTGTGTGTATGTGTGTGCAGGCATGTGTGTATATGCATGTGTGTGCAGGCATGCATGTGTGTGCAGGCATGTGTGTATATGCATGTGTGTGCAGGCATGTGTGCCCATGTGTGTGTTTGTATGTGTGTGTATGTGTGCAGGCATGTGTGTGTGCCTGTGTGCGTGTGCGTGTGTGCAGGCATGTGTGTGTGCAAGCATGTGTGTATATGCGTGTGTGTGTGTGCAGGCATGTATATGCGGGTGTCAGAGGACAACTTGCAGGAGTCGTTTTCTCTCTGGCATGGTGTCAGCTGGTTGTCAGGCTTGCACAATATGCACTTTTACCCATGAGCCGTCTCACTGGGCCTCCACCTTTTTCTTAACACTCTAGGGCAGTGAATGTTTCTGTTGAGTGTGCCGTGGGATGTTAATCTGGGTTTGGTGAATCCTTTCCTCCATGGAATTGTATGCTTCCCTTCATATCGCCAGACGAAGGAAAAATCTACTCCTT